ATAGAATAGAATAGAATAGAATAGAATAGAATAGAATAGAATAGAATAGAATAGAATAGAATAGAATAGAATAGAATAGAATAGAATAGAATGAAAAAGAGAGGGTGTGTCAAACCTGTTGAAAGATTAGTCCAGATCATCCTCGTTTTCTAAAAATTATTATGTTGATTTAGTTCAGCTGGTCCTCTCTTTTAAAAAATACACATTTAAAACAAAATATCATGAAAAAAACCATGTCTTACTCTACCATCTTCATCTAAATAGCACTTTTAAAAAAGAAGCATAGATTATGGTAACCTAACAGCATTAGTAGGTTAGTAATGGACAAACAATTCTACTATAGAAATTTGATTGGATAACAGAATTGGAAAGAGCATGTTAAAACTTTCTATAAGCATTGCTAAAGTATTTAGTCATTAAGGACAAACACTACCTGAACTAACCAATCATTTTGTTCTTTTCATTTTTCAGTTTTCGATGAAAAAAAAAAAAACTCCCTGAAAACAGGACTCTGACCCTTTCACTTGTCCAAGTTAAATTACTAGATTTTAAATCCTGCCAGCCCATTCTTTCATATAAGCATTTTTATAAAGGCTGTAACAATAAAAAAAAAATTCAATTTCAATTTCTGGTTGACTGTATATAAAGTTATTTTCCAAAACAATTGTGAACAAAACCTTCATTATTTATTTAGTGCAAACCTGGTTGATAAAGTATATTTGTAAGAGACTTAATGCTGTAATACCAATAAACATGGTCTAACAAAGCACTAAATCAAGGCTGCCTTAATGCAATTAGTCACAACTATTTTCAGATTTTTATTTGCATAAACATTTAAAAACCATCAACCATAATCTTTCAACTTTATTATTATGCACTACTTTGTGGTTGAGTATTTTTAAAAAAATGTATTGAAAGACCTAAGTCTATTGCTGTAATGTGAGAGAATGTAATGAGGTTCAAGGTGTTTAATTACTTTTGCAAGTCCATGTCCAGTTGTTGAAGAGAAAAATTAATTAGATCTAAACACATTCAGCTTTCAAAACACACAGCTAAGCTTTGTTTACCTGTGGGCTTTTAAATCTAACTGATTTTAGACACTTTATTAAAAAATTGGCCAAAAGCAGGATTCAAACATCAAGCTTTGAAAATGTCAGTAGTTTGTGTTTTCTTGTGCACGAGGCAGCCAAACACTTTATAGGATGAATCATTTTCAGTCTGAACATAGACTGTGATATGTTCTTTTTTTTATTTGTCAACACTCTGTCCCTTTTTAAATCATAGTTAATGAGAAGTGTTTCAAAAAGAAAATCATTCTTCACCTTTTAATAAACAGAAGGAATTGGGGAAATTCTTGTTTGCTATGGCACACCAGAACATGAATAAGGATGAGCCAGGGCTTTGTTTTTTTGACTGTGGATCACTTAGTGAGCAAGAGAGAAAATTGTAATATATATATATATATATAAGTGTGAGTAACATGTGTTTTTCTTTTGTGCATGTTTGTGCATACAGTTTGTTTGTTTGTGCAACAATAGTTCACAGATGGATTAATTAAATTCAAACCAAAGTGTTCACTCTTGAAAAGAGTCTGTTATAGCAACAATTCAATGGGGAATGTGTTGCCCAAATGGAAAGACCTGGCTCTCATTGAAATTCAAATAGCTTTGCAACATATTTAATGCCCAATTTCATCTCCAGGAAATTTGTTGCAAAATGAGATGCAAGGAGAAATGGGACAAAGTAGCAGCTCGGTGTTCACTCGGCTACACGTTATAGATCCCAATAAATGAGTGGAGCTGTGTTTACGCCTTGCATTGTATAATCAACACTGGCATGTCAAGCTTTGTGCTAGGAGATTGTATTATAAACAATATGCTTTCAGCAACTTTCTAAGGCTGCAATATGCATAAAAAGTCCCACCATGCCACACATGTTTTCATAATGCATAGCAGGTTTGGGTTATGTAAGAATTAATATCTTGTTTCCAAACGTAAATAAATAAAGTGTCAAATCCTGTGTTATGGTTACCCATCACAGTTAATATATATCCATGTTCTGGATAGAAAGTGGATCTGTACACAGATGTACTATTTTTTAAAGGCTACTTAATAAATGCTTACTCTTAGAGTTGTACACAAAATACCCCATTATGAGATTGTGTAAAAACATTCTTAATATTCTTGCAAATTTACTTATTATTAAGCTGAGATGCATATTTCTTCCATTCATCATCCTTGAGATGTTGCAGCAAAAATCCAGATCACCTGTGGTTCTGCATGTCAGAACGCAAATACTGAGCATGGGTCATAGGAATAGCCAGTAGACCTCTGTGCCAAGACAGTGTTTAGTGACCATTCCGGGCATAACTGAAAAAAAAAAAAAAAAAATTCTGCTTCAAAGGTCCTCATGAGTACAGTTTATTTGATTTGAATTGAACATTTCTTAAAAGATCTGAAAATATATGAGCACAAACATATCCCATTTATTTAATGGGGTAACGACACAACAATAGGCCCATAAGCAACATTATCTGGGTGGGCCCCATGTGAAGTACAACATCCCCATCCCCTACCCGCCCCCCCATCGCTAACACATGGTACAGTTTTGGTTTTAATCTACACTCTGGATTACCCATAATTCCAAGTCGTATTGTAAAAAATTAAATACTCAAATACATCGTTCTTTTAAGATCTTTATTGCGGTTTGAAACATATTTATTTTACCAACCGTCTAATGAACTATACACAGTTATTAACATAGTAATTAAAAGTACCACTGTCTGCTTTGCTATTGGTGTCGTGTTTAAACAGCTCACCATCATGTTGAAATCTGCCATGTGTTGCGGTATAAATACTGTCCGGTCAGTCAACCCAGTAACAGCTGGGTTTAAGAGTAATTTTTCGCACCGTTACATCTGCATAGAGTCGTCCTAGTCCACAATTGCGTAGGGGGGCCAACCAGGTGTCAGTGACGGGGCCCCTAAGCAACTGCAGTCTCTGCTTACCGATGGTTACGCCATTGCATTTATTCATAAGAAGATGCACTACAAAGAAGAAAGGGTCAAACTCCCTAAAGAAAGGTTCACTGAACTTGTGTGTATCACATTAAAAAATAATTGGTTCTGGAATTGCTGTCAAAGGTGAATCAATAATGTAAAAAGCATAGGCTATAATTTCTTGAAAAATTGTAACTTTTCAATTTTTCTATTTCAACAAATGTGTAACAATCTTAAAACATTTTTTTTCCTTATTGATATTGATAGTTTTTTATAAGATTTAAAATGAAACTGTAACCAAACAAAATGTGAAAAAATGCAATGCTGTGTATACTTTCAAGATTCATGAAATGCTGCAATAATATTTGATTAGTGCAGTTATTTACATTTTACCTCTCAAAAAACCTTAACACTGTGTAGTTTTTGTGAATATTTTTAGCTTAGGATATTTAGAAGGTACTTTGAAACTAGATATCCACCTATCCATTTTCTGTCAGATCCAATCCGATACCGATACTTTAGCTGATTATATCAGCCGAT